ATTTTTCAAAATAAGAGTACTTTACTCCTGTCACAAAATCAAATATTTGAAGGGCTCTCGTATATTACGTGTGTTGTACTGTATTTTGTTGGTGCATGTTTAGTTTTAGGGAATGCACAAACTTTTATCAGGAATAACTTTTTGTCGAAAAACCCTTAATAAATAAGTTTCCCATATGGTGCATACTTTGAGGATTATACTGTACGTAAAAGCAACACAATTACAACGTTCCTTCATAACATGTGCTACATTGGTTTGTCAAATTGCTTGAATTTATTTTGAATCTATTTCCTCGCTCGATAATTATAAATAAATATCGTATCGTATAAATAATATCGTATGAGTATGTATCAAATTACAACATTTTATGTGACCATTATTCCAATTATCAAAATGTGAGTAGTAAGCTGAAGGTGAATATATGCCATCGAGAAAATTAAAGAAGAGTTATATGTAGTGTATTGGGTGCCTGATGTAGTTCTTCTCACCATCAGAACAAGACAACTTTTGTCATGGAGTTTTCAGCTCCTGGCAAAAAAGTCGTTTCTCTATCTGCTCTATCTACATCATGTTTTAGAAGAAAATTATATCTTTAACGGAGATTTCAAAATTTCTCACATATGAAATGAAGGTTCAAAGCTTAATTATTTGGAAGCAATGGAAATTATTGAACTTGAGAATCTAAAAATTTTACTGAATGACCAATTGGATTCAAGTAGATCACCATTCCTGAACTCGACTTCCTAGAAACCAAAATTGTATTATTGATGTAAAATCGATATAATATGCTCGAGGTGATCATAATTTGAAGATGTACCTTCGGTATATAAAAGTTGTGTAGATGCTTTAGGTGATCATGATCAAAGAAGTACCTAACATAGGTTTCTCTCACTTATAATTACGTGGGATATATGAAAATCAGACTGAAAAAAGGTTGGTTAGGAAACAGGATAATTTTTTTCAAAACAATTGTTTTCTTGCCGACACCGCGAAATCTGTTTGGCATTTTCAAATGTATCGCGTTCAGACAGACATACATACACGAAGGGGGACTTAGTTCCATTAAACCATATATTTCCCCTTTCAATTATATTTCAACCAGCCGTTCCGTTTATGGACAACATCTCTTTCTGAGATCTCTTCTCTCTCTCCCCCTTAGCTACCAGGTGTCAATTTGTTCTAATAGATGGTGGATGAAAAACGCCAGTGCTCGAGAATCTCTCTAACGACCTCTCATTAAAACTACCCCGGCATTATATTTTAAAAAAGCGTCAATTTCGACGAAAGCTTTATTATACGTTCACTTCGGCCAACTAATTGAACTTTATTATGCCTCATAAACCAAATTATTTAACGGTAGCGGTTACTGCCAAGCGTTTTCCAACCGTTTGATCGATTCCGTTTATTTTTGCCAATTAGGGGTAGTTGTAGCTTTCGCATTTTTAATTGGTGCTTTTATCGGGAGTTTCCTGAATTGAATCAGAAGTGGATTCTGAGAAACTTGTCGCTTCAGGTCCCAAACCGACCAGCTACGACATTCAATCAGTTTCAGAAAGTGTACATTGTACAAGAATGTGTCAAAG